TAGCTATTTTTTATTCAACACGAGTATGTTTGGTAGAAAAAAAAAAGTAGAAGGAAAGAAGAAAGTGGAGAGATTTTAAGAGGAAAAATAAAAATGTAGGTTGTTTAGTAAGAAAAAAAAAAGAAAGAAAGAGAAAATAGAGTAAAAAATAATATATGTGGGTCTTATTATTTTTTTTTCTTTTCACAAGTGGGCAGAAAATGTGATGAAAAATAAGGATAACTCATTAAAGTGAGTAAAGTTACTAAATTACCTTTTTTTTCATCAACATCCAAGTAAAAAATTTAAGAGTATAAAAGTAATTTACGAGTAAGATTTTTTTTTTCTCTTAATTTAACTTATAATACCAAACAAGTGAAGGTAAGCTCATTTTCTTTCCATCTTCTCATACCAAATAATATAAAAAAAAATCAATTTCCTTTCTATCATTGCTATTTTCCATCACTTCCATATTTCATTTCTATCATATTTTCTTTCCTTTCTACCAAACATAACATAATTGTCCAAACGTGACCATATGTGTGGCTGTTATTTTGCATTATAAATGGGGGACTCATCATGTCATGTCATAACATTTAATGCCATTCAGTACATTTTTTTTTAATACAAGTGCACCCGTTTTTTCCCCTAATATTTTACCTTTTATTCGCGTATGAAATATTATGTTGTAATATTATGTTGTAATATCTATAATTTCCGTTATGAATTGAAAGTCATATATAATCCCTACTATTTGAGAAGAATAAAAAACGAGAAAAAGAAGAAAATAAACAAAACATAAGGATAAGATTTATAATAATTGACTCCACGGCAGAATATACTGTAATGAGATAAAAAGTGGTGCATTAATGTTCCAGAATCCTCAAAATATATCTTCACGTCTTTTTGTTTTTCTTCTAGAGAAAATGGAAGACTAAAACACATGCATGAACGAAAAACATATGTCAAAAGTGTATGGCCTACAATTAGGCTCAAAGAAAAATGCATAGAGGATATAGTTTAATATTTGATTGCTGTTATAATTTGTCATAAGTGCACTAAAAAATATATCAAATTTAATATTTGATTGCTGTTAGTTTATATATTAATTTTTTTTATTTAATTGTTACAATGTTGTTCTTATTCCAATATTCAAATTTTACTTTTACAAGTTTTGAGACCAAAAGTTGATGTGAAATGTCAAGAGCAATTTTAACATTTTGCAATGACAAATTATATAGCATCGAAATAAATGCTTGCATCGCGATCCTCGAATGGTCTATTGAGTGAGATTTCTCCGGTGGATACAATTAATATGATGCTGATAAGAGTGCCGATAAATACCTTATTACATAAGTCTATTATAATCTTTATCTACTTTTTCTACGGATGGCCAATTGATGTGAGATAAATTGTACGTATAAACGTACTTATGCAGGCTTTGGCTATAAAAGAGATGGGAAATGTTAAAGAGTGAGCAGATCACAACTAAGGCTGCTATTTTTTCTTTCAAGTCCTCTCTCTTGAACCAAACCACTAATTTTCTTTTCTCGCTATATATAGTAAGTTTTCAAGGTACTGATCACGATTGATATCGATAATTTTTTTTTTTTTTTTGTGACCAATATATATTTGCTTGTATATATGTATTTTTTTGTTACGTTTTATGTTCTAATCTATTATTTTGTGGGATCCATAAATTTTGCTCTAGTAAGTCTAAATATGGTTGGTTTTTGATAGATTCATGGACGGTTTCGATGATCCCGTGGTCATAATCGACATTCCAGAGGATCTGGAATTCAAGCAGTGGTCAAAGTGTTGGATCCACAGAGTTCCCAGGAATCTCCGCAAGGTAAAGGAAGATCTATACACTCCTCAGCTGATTTCCATAGGCCCTTTTCACCATGGCAAAAAAGAATTGAAGGCCATGGATTTCTACAAAGAAAAATACAGGGATGAGCTTTTTAAGCGCATTGACGAGCCTTCTAAACGCGCCGAGATCGTCAACAGGATCACGAAATTCATAGAAAATGGCTCCAAAGAGATACGCAGTAGGTATGCCGGGACGATCGATCTCGACGACGAACTGTTTGTGAAAATGATCCTGAGAGATGCTTGTTTCATCATCGAGCTGTTCCAGCGAAAAGACTGCAAAGCAGAGTCTGGAATGGACTACATACTGAGCACGCCGTGGCTGTGGAAAGCGGTGAAGGTTGACTTGTTGTTGCTGGAGAATCAGCTTCCGTTTTCGGTTCTTCAGCAACTGTATGAACTTCTCAAGCCATTTCTGCCTGCTGTCAAAGTCCCTCCGAGTGATTCCACCGCTAAAAAAACCGCTCTTCACATGCATCCGTTTCTTAGACTCGCCTGTTCTTTCTTCGAAGATCACATCTTGACCGAATCCGATTGGAAGAAGTTCGCTGACCTTAAGGAGGTTAAGCACCTGACGAACTTGCTGAGGGAGTTTTGGCTTCCAAAGGAGTTCATAAAGGATAAAAGTCCGCACCAAGACGTAGCGGACCGCAGGTATCTCTACTCGGCGACGAAGCTGGACAAAGCCGGCGTGACGTTCAAGCGGGCGAGGAAAGGGAAAAGCCTAACCGACGTGAAGATTTCGAGGAAGCCCGTCTTGAAGTTCATACCGGGCATCAATTGCATGCAGCTTAAGCTTCCGCAGTTGAAGTTAGAGAACGACACGGAGTGTTTGTTGAGAAACGTCATGGCCTTGGAGCAGTGCCTGTATCCGAAGGAGGACTACATCTGCGGCTACATCGCGTTGATGGATCAGCTTATCAACACCGGCGAAGACGTCGAATTCTTGGTCGAGAGGAAGATCCTCATCAACTTACTGGGCAGCAGCAAGGAAGCAGCCAGGCTGTTCAATGGACTATGCAGTCAGATTCCGAGATACAAGTCCTACTATGCTTATTACTACAATGAACTCAATACATTCTATGAGAATCGTTGGAATGTTACAAGGGCAACCTTGAAAAAGGTTTACTTCAAGGATCTTTGGACTGGGAGTTCCACTGTTGTTGGACTTATGGTTCTGCTTTTCACTATAACCGCAACTACTAGAAATGTATATTTGAGATAAGTGTTTTTTTTTTTTTTTTTTTCAGATTAATTATAAATCTTCTTTTTGCCATGGTTATAATTAGTATTTCTACAAAAGCGTTCTAACCCTCACGTGAGTATGTATCCCTACACCTATATATAAAGAGGGTACAATAATTTACCATTAAAAAAATATTAACGTCACTCTTTTTTGATATTTTCTGATTCATTATTTCATACGTCACATTTTCTATTTATATAATAATATATTATATTAATAAAATTCACATGTCATATAATAAATACAAAAAATAAAAAAGTGACAAGAAGAGTAAAAAAAAGGTAACGCAAACATTTGTTAGTAAAATGTTAAAATATTATTGAGCGGTCAAAAAGAATTATTACATTTACTAGATCACCAGAAATGTGCACTGTTTGTACCATCTGTAGTTAATGTGTTATAATGGTCCTCCAAATTGGTTATACTTAACTGGGGACACTCCATAAATGAGGCAGTAAATGTTATTTTTAATGCGAGTCTACTAGTCAAATAGCCCTAGCTTGGGACTTCATTGACCACCATTGTTGCATCGTAATTAAGCAGCGTGGCTAGATTTTGCAGGAATTGGAAAATTAGATTAAAGAAAAAGAATACAAACTGTCTAAGGTAAAGATAATTAAATTAAGGCAAGTTTTTAGTGCTCAAATCCAACATTTTATTTAGGTTAGAACCATGTAAAATGTTATGCATGGGTACTTTTATTATTCTCTGCAACGTGGTAAGTTTTCTTAATTAATTGATTTGCATTTTTACTTGGAAAATTTGATGCATTTACAGATTTAGTGCGAATTATCTGTTTTCTAAATATTTAAAATACTTTTCCTTTGATAAAGTGCATGAAAAATGACATCAAATAAGTTTTTTGCATCCAAAAAAATATCTCTGTAGTTTGTAAAACAAAAGAATAAATAAAAGAAAAAACTTTTTGATTGAAATCGCAATGATATCCTTTGAGTTTTAAATTTTGTTTAGTTTCATCCATTGCAAACATCAAGGGATGAATAAAAAAAGGGGAACCTGAATTACATTTACTTTTTAAAATTTTTAAAAACAGATAATTCTAGATTTTATAATAAACTTTGATGCATTTACAGATTTAGTGCGAATTATCTGTTTTTTTTTAATATTTAAAATGCTCTTCCATCTACAAAGTGCACGAAAAAATAAATCAAAATAAGTTTTTCATATCTAAAACAATATCTCTGTAGCATCTAAAATAAATGAATAAATAAAAGAAAAAACTTTTTATGATAAAAAAATAAAGATAGAAAATTTTGATATTAGGAGGCATATACATATGATTATTTCATAAGACAAATGTGAAAGTTAAGATATACCCTAGAATTCACAAAAGATCCCATAAGGTTTAACTAAATTTCAAATTTTACCATTCTGTTTTAACAATCCAATTAGTATTATCATGCGTTTAAACTATCCCAAAGATAACATGTCAAATCGTTTAAAAGAACATAAATACCCTTAACAATTGATATTTAAATATTATCTTGAATATTTTTTTGAGAAGAATATTATCTTAAATATAAATGACTAAGAAATTACATTTAGAGGAAAAAAAACAAAAGTTAAAAAAAAATTAAATTTAAGAAATTGTAAATAGCAGATTTTGAAACTAAATTAAGTAAAAATAAAAATTTAAAATTATTTCAAATAAATAGCAATTTATAGAATAAATGAATAATTTACTATGTTAATAGTTCATTTACGGCTAGTAAAGACAATTTTTTCATATAAATTTTATTTTTATGACTGATAAAAAGAATTTTTACCAATGTAAATAAAGATTTTTTAAAATTTTTTATCATATAAGTTATTTTTTATTAGTCGTAAATGAACCATTTATGTGATAAAATAATTTATTTACTACATAAATTACTATTTACTTTAAATACTTTTAAAATCTATTTACTTAATATAATTTTAAAAATTTAAACTTGTTAGACTGAACCTGTCACAAAGTCACACACTTGACTCATCATAATTGCCGAACATGTTGGTTCTTTTTACTTATTTATTTTTTTACAGTTTTAACACAAAATAACATTTATATAATAATCACTATTCACTAAGGTTGGTTTCGATATTTCAAAAACTTTAATCAATTAGAGGGGTTTTTTTTCTTACTCTTTTAAAAAACGTTTTGGATTAGATTAGGATATATTTTTAAATTATATATCTATATATCTATATATGGAGAAAAAACATAATAATAAACTAGGGATATAAGAATTCACGTGTAATTTTAAATGTGATTTTATTTTAAAAATGAGTTAATAGTTTTATTAATCTCTGAACTTTAAGTATAGTGACATTTTAGTCTTTAAATTTTTTAATTTTTGAATTTTTATTTTTAACAGTTTTAGGTCTCTTTTATTTACCAATTTAAATTTTAAATTTTAAATTTATATAATTAAAAGTGCTTAAAAAATATTATATTTAGATCGAATTGAAAACTTAAATCGTAAAACGAATAAAACCTTAATTTTTAACAGTAAAATTGACGACAATTTCTAAAATTTAGCATGAATGATTGCATCATAATTAAACTTTGAGGGTTATCAGAAGCGCTATAATTCTATAAATAAAAGATAAATAAAAAAAAACGCTATTAACCCTTTTGGATTTTCTCGTTATTCTCTCTTTTCAATTACGAGGCGACGCGTCGTTGGCTAAAATTTTCAAGACTCTGTTCAGTTCCAACTTCCAAGGAAGGAAAAGCAGAATACACAAAAGAGGGGGGGAGAGAGAGAGAGAGAGAGAGAGAGAGAGAGAGAGAGAGAGAGAGAGAATGTCATCGGAGAAGGAAAGGCCTGCAAAAAAAGGAGGGGGGGGGAGAGAGAGAGAGAGAGAGAGAGAGAGAGAGAGAGAGAGAGAGAATGTCATCGGAGAAGGAAAGGCCTGCACGCCCAGCGCGGAAATTATCGTGCGCCACCTGCTTCGACGCGCTCTGGTTTTGCTACTGTAAAACTCGTCTTTTTCTCTTCAAAGCTCTTATTCAGTTATCAGCATCATTTTCTCAAACACCTTCTGCTCATTCCAAACTTTCCTATCAGTCTTCTCGATTACCTTTCCTTTACACTAATATTTACAAAATTTCGCCTTTCCTTAATCATCGCAAAGTTCCTCTCTTCTTGATTATAGATTTTTTTTTTGGGCACGTAGTATTGAATCTTTGATCTAATTCGTGCACTTCTTTTTGTTGGCTGTTCTATTAGCTCCAGTACATCAGGTGCAGCAATACTATAGGCTCGGGACACTGGATAACTGTTCAGGAAAATGGAGTGCCCTTGTAGATTGTTTGACTTTGAAGACTAAAAGGTCTTCTGAGGTTCAGGTTTGTTATCTGAACCAATTTTTCTTCTATGTCGTTGGTTCTTTTGATTGCCTTGTTATGATAATGGATTATAGTTTTTTCTTCATAGATATTTGGATTAATAATTGGTCGGGAAATTTTTGGTCGTCCGGTTATGTATTTATGTTTCCATTTGAATTTCCCTGCTCTGTTAAGTGAAATGTTTGGCACAAGGGCCCGAACCAGAATCGGCCAGAGAGCCCAAATGTTACAGGCTGCAGCGGGACCCAAAAAATGCAGGACCGAAACAGCTTTGGCGCTGCAGCGGGTCTTCAGTTCGCTGCAACGCTCGCTAGGGTTAAAAGCCAGTATTCACACCCGCCTTTTCAAATAATTCGGTGAGCAAGGAGGGGTTATGCAACCCCACATTGATGTTGCGGATGGCATAAAGGATGGCCGAGTGAATATTCGTGCCCACGTTCATTCATAGCCCCTTGGCTATGGCAAATAGAGCAAAGGCTTGTTCTCGGGATACCTCTGACGTGTGAGAAGTCGAATACATTCTTGCACAAAGGAAGTGTTGATAAAAGTGTATGTGCGTGTTGTATATGGAAGGACTTAAGACCTAATAGGTTAACTTTTTAGGTCAAGTTAGACTTTTGAAGTAGGTTGAGCTAGTTTTACATGTGGTGTCATCCCAACAAGTGGTATCAGAGTTGATGGTTCGTACAGAGTCCAGTGATCACACTCGGTTGCAGGTTCAGATAGTAGAGCATTTGGTGGACTCGCATAGTTTCGGCTCTCTTTCCCATGCTCGAGTTGGCTCCCATTTGGCATGTGATGCTTGAATGTGCAGGCTATTAGAAACTTTGGTTCAAGGAGGAGCTCGGTGAACACACATGAGTGAGAGATTATTGGGAAAAGTGCATGTGTGTTGTCCCACATAGAAAGTAGGTGGAGATGTGAAATGGTTTATATACATGGAAGGACTCCAGACCTAATATGTTAATTTTTTATGTCAAGTTGGGCTCTTGAACTGTGTTGGGTCAGTTTCACATGTGGTGTGAAGTGATCTCAATCTTCATATGTTTTTCAAGGTACCGGGAGTCAAAAGATGACTCCATGCCATTTGCCATGGACCATTGGCATTCTTGGTAACAAATAGTGCGAACAACTTCCTGCATGTCTGATTGAGCGATGTACATGGCCAACTGATCAACTGTAGGTCTTGGGGTTTGTAGGTGTTGATTTATGGTCTTAGCATCAAACTTCACAGTTTTCCCCCTAATTGTTGTCTTGTTGCCCTTGCCAAACGCACCATTTGCATAAAATTCCCGAACAAGGGTTAACGCACTGGGCTTCGGAGTTGTAGAGTAAGTGCCCCAAACATGCTTCCGAATGATCCGGACAAAGTTGGGAAGATTCGACTCGAGAATTTAGAAACCCTTTTCCGAATACCCGCTTAGTTCTTGGTATACTCATTGTAGCGGTTTTCTGCGGCTTTTGAAACAAATTCATCGGACTTGTATTCAGGAGTGGAGCTCGATCCCTTGTTCTCGTTCTTGTTAGCCATAACTTTGATCGGCATTTTGATCAAAATTATCAACTTTCCAAATGCTCACTATAGCAAACAAGAGTTCCAAGTGCCAAGAACACAACCACACTCCAATAACCCTGCGAAAACACAATTACAATAGCACCAATCTGAGCAACTCCAAGAGATCACGCACCAACCAAGCAAAGGCAAATTTAACCACATATGAAGCAAGCCAACCAAGTGAAACACCCACAGTTTTAGGCAATTTCCACAAAATCAAACCAAGTATCAACTGAAAATCACTCAAGAGAGCAAAATCGTCCATTTTATTCTTCAAACCTAATTGACGTTTAAGAGACCACTAGCCACAATCTACCAATTTTCCACGAATTTTCAACACAAGTTTAGTTTTCTCAAGCAACACAAGAGCCAATTTCATCAATTTTGGCCAAACACCACACTTAGGGTTCAACAATTTCGAATTTCCTTCTCAAAACCCAAATAATCTTGGAAGAGTGACTTACTTGGTGATGATGACTTCGGATAAGAGAAGAAAACCCGCCACTTTGTGCTCCTTGAAACTTGAAGAACGTGGATGAATGTTGAGGAGGACGAGTGTTGGTGTGGATGGATTTGTGGAATCCCCGAAATATTTTCAAAATAATTTGTAAGTTTTATTATTATTATCAATAATGAAGCTTATTTTGGTGTTTTCAATTGTGAGTAGTTTTCTATATCTAGCTCTGTCCACTGCGGATCATGTAACCATTACGATTCTCCCCACTTGGTATCAAAGCCAGAGAGGGTAAAGATGTTGGTATAATGGGGAATAGTATTTTCAGATAATATTACTAATAAACTTCATATAAATAATATTATTATCAGTTTTTTCCTGAACTACTGCTATTTATTATTCGCATTTAGTTGCCTATTTTTGCACCTACGCTTTTTCATCTTTGCATTCATACATTAAAAAAAAAAATTAATATGGATCTTTTCAGAACAAAATCCACAAGAAACCATTCAGAGCAAATAGTTAATTCAGAAGAAATAACATTTGCTAACATTGAAAAAGACTTTAGTGATTGGAAAATCCCCAAAGTCCCTACAAATGTAATCTATAAACAAGAAAGATTCTCGTTTGGTATGGATTACTCTATTAAAATTGTTGAGTAGGTAGTTCCACTTGCTCAAAAAACTAAGCTCTCGTTTGGTTTACTAGTTTGAATTTTGTTAACTTGAACGGGGAATAAAATTTGAATTTGTGTTTGGTAGGTGTGAAAAGCAGAGAGAGTGAGCACTTTTTACTGTTTAAAAATGGTTTGAACGGTTGAACTTTAGGGAGAGCTAAACTCTAAGTTGGGCCGTATAACTCAGTTCAAACGGGGAATATAATTCAAACTGCATGCTTACCAAACGCCAGTTCAAACTGTACTTACTGTTCAAACTGAGTTGAATTGAACTAAACTAGTGAAACAAACATGAACTAAAACTTTTCACCTATTCTCAAAAGTTTCAATTAGGAATCATTAAAAAAAAAAAGAAAAAACAAATTATTTGTACATAGGTCTTGTGCAAGTAGGAATCAAACCCTTAACTAGAGGAGGTTTGAACACTTCAATCCTTCTCTCTCCAAGGGACAAAAGGCATTTAGGATACCTGGATCCATTACTTGGAATTGTGGAAACCAGTTTATTTAATGGGCCAGTGTATTTTGATTGTTACCCAAATTTTACTACTTCAGATCCGCATATCATGAAAAGCCTTTCTTTTAGATGTAAAAACATCTAATTATAGAATTTACTATAAAACTACAGCTTCAGCTTTTAAAACAAGTGCTCTAAGACCCAGTGACAAAGGTGAGACAATTCTGGTCCAAACAGATTTGTCTAGAGCAAATTGTTGTGTTCTAAAGAGTGAAGTTCAGTAGTGCTTTGGACAGCAAGTGGATGCAAAAAGTAGAAAAAATAAAAATGCTACGAGAGATAAACAGATATAATAGTGAATAGTGTTTTTCAGATGATGTTGTTAATAAACTTCATGAAAATAATATTATTATCAGTCTATTCTTGAAAATGATATGCACGTAGTATAAATTATAATCATCATATGCATATATTAAAGGTACAAGGCGTTGTTAAGGTGTGGGAAAGCCGTTGTTTAGTTAAATCTAAAACTAATGCATATTTATATGGTTTAATTAAACTGTGTTTACATGGTTAGCAGTGGACAGAGCTTGATATAATATATATATATATATTAGTCACTCAATATGGTTTGAGATTATTTTGAGAAAAACTTGTGATTGTGGATGTTAGAAAGAACGATGACAAGAATAAAGTAGGTTAAAACGACATTGAAAAAAGGCATTCAGTTCCATGGCAGGGTATATGGTCTTACTGCTGAAGGGTGAAGGATATGTTCTGTGGCTGAAGACTCAAATGACTCAAATATCTGCTATGGAGCATTTTCTGTATCATATTCGTGAAGCAGGTGTAACTTTAGAAATGCTCACTGTAGATTCATCTGGTAGTTTTTGTGGATCCACTCAAATTGCCGTGTATGTGTATTCAAGGAAATATCAATTATTGATACTTCATAGAGTTCATTTATTCGAAAGCCCCAATATTCTAAGACAATAATTCTGGTATTATGTACTAAATAATCATTAATATATATCCAAAGAAATGATTCATCAAAATAATGAGTCACCATTGATATCGACACATCTGAGATCGCCAAATGTTCGGGAGTTCCTCTATTCAATCCTTTTCCTTCTTCTTGTTGCTGGATATCTCGTTCGTACACATCTTCTTTTTGTTTCTCGAACCTATAGTGAGTTACAGATAGAGTTCGAAAGGGTCAAGTCATTCGTACACATCTTCTTTTTGTTTTTCGAACCTTTGGGAATGTATTGAACTCAATGTGATTTTTAACTTGTAGCAACTTTGGAATTTGACATAGATATTGATATTTATCTACTGATATTTCTCGATTCCATTTTTGTTCAACCAAACATCGTCGTTAGCATTAGATTGATTGTTCTCAATTCTCAAATGCAAGGATATTCCTGCAGTCTAGAGACATGGACAAAATCTGATTGCAGTTTTTCAGTTCCTATATGTGCTCATTTTTTTTTTAGATTCCTCTGATGATTCATATTTCTGTTCCTTTTTTATTTTTCCTTGTAGTTTCCGAATTTTGTATTGTAAGTTTCAACTATTATGAAACTCCAGACCTCTTTCCCTTCAGCCCCCCTGCCATAATTGTTGCTCGTTACTTCAAACGAACTGTGCCATTACAAACTTCATACACATCTCCAGAATTCATTCTTGGTTTGAAATATGTACAGAAGATTTTTATTTTGTTTAAAATGAACTTGGTTGTATTTATCATCATAATTTCTTTGTATGTAATCAACAATCAAATCGTTGGTGAACCTCTGATGCAGGAAATTCTAGAAACCCGTGAAAAGGCCAAACCTCACATATGGACTCTCCGGTCTCCCGAGGAAGCATCGACAAACTGGGAAGAGCTATTTGGACATTTGGATGAAGTGGAATGATGAAGATTGCGGACAATTGATTCTTGGTTCAAATCTGAGGACGTTTGGTTAATGGATTTAGAATTATGATTCAGAACTATTCTCGATTTACATGTGTTTTTTGTGAGAAAAAACATTGTAGCGAGTCACGAACCATGACACGAATCCTTCAACCAAACGCTACTCATCAAGTGGTTTGACAAAAAAAAGAGGTTTGAGACTATATTCTTTGTAGCGTTATTCTCTCACTTTTCAAATTGAAAGGACTTATGTGGCACAAATAAAAGCTAGGGACTGTTTATGATTTTAAGTTTTAATTCATGTTGCCACATATAATTTAGCTCATTTAAGGTCATTCAGGCATTTTTCAGACTGCCATGCCACATATTTTAACTCCTATGTTTTTTTTTCTTTATTTATTTATTTATTTTAATTATCATCGTAATTATCGGTAAAATGCAGTAGGCAGCATGGTTGTTCACCAGGGAGCGTTTTGGTTCATGATATGAACAATGAAGGTCCAATTTTTAACACGAAGGGAAAATGTGCCTAAAATTGAGCCTACAAAAATGCTATACTGCCCCTTTTTTGTCTCATGGAAAACATTTGTCTGATTTGCAATGCCAACATGCTTAAAAAATAAAGACCGTGTTTTGAATTGATTTCGTTTTTGTTTTTTACGTTTTTTAAGAAAGAAAAAATGAAAACGTTTATAAAATGACGCTTGGCGCAATAAAGACAAAAACGGAAATGAAAACGATTTTTTGGTTTAGTGTAAAATGAGAGAAATGAAAAATGACTTTTAGTCGTCTTTTATTTTTTGTTTTCGTTTTCTCTTCTCTCGAGCAGGGAGAAAGAGAGACATTAATGGTTTTTTTTATATTGAAAATAATCTCTTGATAAAATTACTAAACGCATTTTTAAAAATAATTTTTATCTGAGATTAAAAATGTTTTTATTTTTATTTTCATACAAAAAATAAAATTATTTTAAAATGAGTTTTAAATGTGCCCAAACACACACCAAAATATCTTAAATAACGGTCGAAATGACCATCTTAAAAAGTTAAAACATCAAAAACACCATTATGATCATGAAAGTGAGAATTTCGTGAGTATTGCACGGTCGAATTGTAGATTTAGGGTTGTTACCACTGGGGCTAAATTGTCACGAGGAGTCTAGTCAATCGCATCTCTATGGTTACAGTTCCTAGAAGGCCAACATGACTTGTTCAACTAAAAGGATTAATTTCATAAATGAACCTTGAATTTTACTACATTTTAATATGCTGCTGAAGTTTTAGAAATGATTTATTTTGCTCCTTGAATTATGAAAAAGTGGTTTAAAATACACTGAAACTAATGTATTTTATAAAAAGACCACCTGAATTATCGATTTAGGGTCAATTTACCTATTTAATATTTTAAAATACACGGGTGCAAGTTAACATAAGTAACAATTTAAGTGGTAAGTTGATTTAAAATCAATACTTTGAGGGGTGTTTATAAAAATATTAGTGTCACATCATCATTTTGTTAGTTTTATTAATTATAAGAGAAATTTTAAATTAGAGTACATAATTCAAAAAGCGAAATGAACCTCTCTTAAAATTTCGAGAGTATATTGAAATAAAACAAAAGATTTAGGGGATTACATACAATAAAATATTACGGACTAAAACTTTTGGAGCTTTTGTAATATGGCAATCTCGAGTTTAGTTTTTTTATTTTTAGTGGAGTAGCATTGAAGTTAATAATAAAATGGATGGATTATTCCCGATAGCTTTAACTATTGTAGCTGGTATTATATATATATATATATTTATTTATTTATATAACCAAATCATATTAAAACACAGCTAGTACGGTAAAATAACGGGAAAAGAGATAAATATTTCTTAAAAATGTATGGGTCATGATTTTTAATATTTATTTTTAATTAATAATATTTTTAGTTAAATAATTATACTAATAAAAGGGTATTAAAGAATAAAAAGTAAAAATTTAAATATATGTATTTTTAAAGATAAATTCTGGAATTTTTTTTTAAAAAAAATAACCGTGGACGGTTGGTCCACCCATGAGGCAAGACCGTGTGCTCCTGGACTATAGGCGCATATCCTCTAATTTTTCATGAAGAATTAATTAATTATTAATTTGAAAAAAAAGTGAATAGATAAATATTATGAAAAATAATAATTGTTAATTTAATTTTGAATCAAATTTAAATTAATATAATTATCTTACTTGTGGATAATTAAAAAATATAAATGAGGATTATAGATAATTAATTAATTAAGATGCTAATTTGATTGAGAAAATCACTAGCCACTACGAATAGAGACTTGTTGGTTAAGTTTTATTTCAAAGACGATAAAGTCCACGTAGAGATTTTTCATTGACTCTCACGCCTTCCACCACTAGCATAAATATGGACCTTTCCTTCTCATTTATTTTACACTGCTTAAGTGCAACTAGAGAGAGTAATTACTAATCGTTCTCACCATAATTGGAAGGAGTGTGCCCATTACGTGGAGAATTACTGAACGTATGCCCACACAAATAATTCTTGAGAAAGAAAATAATACCGTTTAGTTCGCTTATTCAAATTGAGAAGTGACTTTATATGAGAGCTTTTTACTGTAGTAAAAAAGTTAGATGTAATTGTTTCTGAGAGCTTTTTACAGTAGCAAAAAAGTTAGATGTGACTATTTCTGAGAGCTTTTTATTATAACAAAACTCGAATCGGTAAAATGAACGAATCCTAAGACTAACTGGTTGAAGCTCTTAGATAATTTTACAAAACTTGGTCAGAAATGCTATTACGTTTTTAAAGAGATATTAAGACCTCATTCATTTCACCGATTCGAGTTTTCAGTTTTAGGTTTCTACAGTTAAAAGCTCTCAAAAAATGTCACATCTAACTTTTTCTACTACAGTTAAAAGCTTTCAGAAAATGTCACATCTCAACTCGAATCCGTGAAGTGAACGATGCCTAAATTATTTAGATTACTCAAATCGGTAAAATGAACGGACCCTAAGACTAACTGGTTGAAGCTCTTAGATAATTTTGAAAAACTTGGTCAGAAATGTTGTTATGTTTTTAAAGAGATATTAAATTATTTAGATTTAATTTTATTCATAGCAACATGATAACGTTCCTTGGGATTTTCTTGAATTTATAAAAACTGTATTATTTGAATTTGATGAGGGTTGGAAAAAAATAAATTAAGTACTATCTCGCATGAATAATAAGTGCACGTGTTTATCTGGTCGACGATAAAAGCACATGAGCCGATCTTGAGTCATGGGCCATATGATGTGAAAATTTTCAGAGTCGCATAACTTATTAGAGATCGAAAGACTCGTGTGAAAAGACTCTTACTTGAGTCACATAACAAAATAGTAAGACTCGTTTAGTTCGCTGATTTGAGTTTTTAATTTAAGTTAAAATGTGATTTTATGTGAGTATTTTATTATAGCAAAAAAGTTAGATGTGATTGTTTCTGAGAGCTTTTTACTGTAGTATAATTCGAATTTTAAACTCAAATCGGTGAAATGAACGGGGCCTACGACTCTTACTCGAGTCACATGACTTGTTATAAAAAAAAATCCCACTTTTTATATTTATAGAATAAAAATAAATATACCATAATATGAAATAATTCAATAAAAATACGCTTTGTTACAATCCAATTGAATTTGAGCCTTCAATAATATAGTCTATTATTGTATTACAATCCATTATAGCAAACGAGCCTCAATAAAACTTAAAAGTGAACTCTAATGAATA